CGGACATTATCTTTCCGGCAAGGAGGGGGATGCCAAATATTATGCAGGCTCTGATGGAGGCATGGGCTACATGATTAAGTTTCGGTTTGGTGACAAGTGGCACTACAGAGATGCTTCCACGGACGACGGCCACATGGGGCGGCTGATTAACCACAGCGCCTGTTGCCCCAACGTCAAAGGTAATCCCATTGATATCTTTGGGGATGGCAAACCGGTCATAGTCTACACAGCGACCAAGGTAATTTTTTCAGGAGATGAAATTCTACTTGACTACAATGATAGTCAATCATCTGCCGAGTTTCTGAAGAAATGTCCCGTTTGTCAAGGAGATCCGCTCCGAAATAATGCACTGGTTGCTGAGCCGGATAATCAACCACCCAAGAAGCGTAGGAAACAGGTCATTTAGATTGTCATCATTCATCTTCTGGCCTCTATTCTTTATCTTCTGGCACAGGCTTCAGCCTCAATTCTTCTACGTGCCCTTTCTCCCCTTAGCAGTTTTCATCATTCTCAGTTTTCTTCGGGCACAGAGGCTTCATCCTCTATTCTTCCACGTGCCCTTTCTTTCTCCATCCCAGTTTCCACCTTGTCTGACGACCGAAGAGACCCAGTGGTGAATACTGGGCGGGAAGTGCTGGAAGGTCTCCCATCTTGTCTGACGACTGGTAAATAATAACATGGGCCCCATAAGAGATGCTGGGCTGGACGACCGTAGGGTAATCCTAACCTTATCATTCGGATTTTGGACGATCCAGCATTCACTAAAATGAATTAATAGTGATTAGGCTGTAGGGACCACCTCACCTTGTCTGACGACCGAAGAGACCCAGTGGTGAATACTGGGCGGGAAGTGCTGGAAGGTCTCCCACCTTGTCTGACGACTGGTAAAAAATAACATGGGCCCCATAAGAGCTGCTGGGCTGGACGACCGTAGGGTAATCCTAACCTTATCATTCGGATTTTGGACGATCCAGCAGCTGTGAGTAGGTAAAATGAATTAATAGTGATTAGGCTGTAGGAACCACCTCACCTTGTCTGACGACCGAAGAGACCCAGTGGTGAATACTGGGCGGGAAGTGCTGGAAGGTCTCCCACCTTGTCTGACGACTGGGAAATCTCAGTGGTAAATAATAACTTGGGCCCCATAAGAGCTGCTGGGCTGGACGACCGTAGGTTAATCCTACACTTATCATTCGGATTTTGGGCAGCTGTGAGTAGGTAAAATGAATTAATAGTGATTAGGCTCTAGGGACCACTTCACCTTGTCTGACGACCGAAGAGACTCAGTGGTGAAAACTGGGCGGGAATGCTGGAAGGTCTCCCACCTAGTCTGACGACTGGTGAATCTGAGTGGTAAATAATATGGGAGGAGATATAGGTCCACCTTCCCGTGGTTCCTCCCGTAAGTACTGCTTTCAATACGAAGCAGTGCGACCAAGAGGCCTATCTATTAACAAATTACCCTTTCCGTAAAGCATTAAGAATATTCTGTAACGTTCTTCCTTTCTTAAAATTAATATCTACTTGAAGTTCTTCAAAAAAAAAAGAACACTCATTGAAACGTCGCAGTCAGTAAATATAGTAATTGTATGTCCATAAAGTTTGTTTTCCTGATACAGATATTGATAGTGTTTGACTGTAGTATGTAGTAAAGGTCAGTAATGATACAGATATTGATAGTGTTTGACTGTGGTATGTAGTCTAGGTTAATAATAATACAGATATTGACAGTGTTTGAATGCAGTATGTAGTAGAGGTTAGTTATGATACAGATAGTGTCTGACTGTAGTATGTTGTGTAGGTTAGTAATGATACAGATAGTGATTGTGTTTGACTGTAGTATGTTGTGTAGGTTAGTAATGATACAGATATTGATAGTGTTTGACTGTAGTATGTAGTCTAGGTTAGTAATATTACAAATATTGATAGTGTTTGACTGTAGTATGTAGTCTAGGTCAGTAATGATATTGATACTGATACTGTCTGACTATAGTATGTAGTCTAGGTCAGTAATGATACAGATATTGATAGTGTCTGACTGTAGTATGTAGTCTAGGTCAGTAATGATACAGATAGTGATAGTGTTTGACTGCAGTATGTAGTAGAGGTTAGTTAAGATACAGATAGTGTCTGACTGTAGTATGTTGTGTAGGTTAGTAATGATACAGATAGTGATAGCTTTTGACTGTAGTATGTAGTCTAGGTCAGTAATGATACAGATATTGATAGTGTCTGACTGTAGTATGTAGTCTAGGTCAGTAATGATACAGTAATAATATTGGTAGTGTTTGAGATGCCCCCTAAATATCAGAGTGATGCCCTCTAAATATCAGAGTGATGCCCCTAAATATCAGAGTGATGTCCCCTAAAATATCAAAGTAATGGCATCCGAGTGATGTCCCCTAAAATATCAGTGTGATGCAATCAGAGTGAACCCCCTAAATATCAGAGAGATGCAATCAAATGCTAAAGTGATGCTCCTGAACACTAGAGTGATGCCCCCAAATGCTAGAGGGATGCTCCTATACATCACATACATGCCTCCTGAACACCAGAGCGATGCCCCCTATATACTAGAGTGATGTCCTTATATGCCAGAGTGATGACCTCTAATTACCCCAGTGATGACCTCTATACAAGAAATTGATCCCTCAAGTGATGCCCNCTTTACATGGGTGATGCTCCCTATACATGGGTGATGCTCCTATACATCAGAGTGATACCCTTTTATATGTCAAAGTGATACCCCTTTACATTAGAGCAATGCCCCCTAAATGCTAAAGAAATTCCGCTAAATATCAAAGTGATCTTCCTTTTTTTTATGCTAGAGTGATCCCCCTACATATCAAAAGATGCCCTTGTATGCCAGAGTGATTAATATAAAATCAAAGAAAGACAGGGACACTGATAGCATCTATTTTACAACATTTAAATTTTCAATCAGACATTTGTGGTTCCTGCAATTTTATTAAAAATAAGTGTTTGGTGACGTCACTAATCGTAAAATATGCTTTATCACATACGGACTTAGCAATTACGTCATAAAACGCTGAGTTTTAGTGGAATTGCAGGAATCACAGACGTCTAATTGAAAATTTGAATAGTCTAAATTGATATCAGTGTTCCTGGTGGCTCGATATTATTAGTTGTTGTCCTTGTTGATTTTCGCAATTTGACCTACATATCTGAAGATTTCGGTTTATAGTTTTCACAAATTTGAGCTTAAAAAAAATTTTTGACCTACAAAAAAAGCGGAATGTCCCTTTAACAAACTGGTGCAAACATTTGATCTCGTTCTGATGAGGATTGTACATGTGGATGCCGATGTTATCGTAAACTGCCATCATTGTCAGCAATAGCACCAGGCATTTTTTGAAACTGATGGTGATAAAATTGGGCCAAGCCCCTCCTGTGCCAGCAATAGTTTACAGCCTTTTTGTCGGCCGCTAATTGGTGCCTCTGGTGCTATTGCAGTCAAGGTATAAGACGAAGTTCGTAATAGCTTGATATTGTGAAGGTGTGATATAAGAAAGGTGGCTACTGCAGTCAAGGATGAAGATGAAGTTTTAAAAGATTGACATTGTGAAGATGTAAGTAAGGCGACTATTGCAGTCAAGGTATAAGATGAAGATCGTAATAGCTTGACATTGTGAAGAGGTGATACAAGAAAGGTAACTATTGTAGTCAAGGTATAAGACGAAGTTTGTAATAGCTTGACATTGTGAAGATGTGATACAAGAAAGGTGACTATTGTAGTCAAGGTATAAGACAAAGTTCTTAATAGCTTGACATGTCAGGTTACTCGAAATGCTAGAGTGATTTTTATCTGCCACACCCATCCTTCCCTTCCCTAGAGTTGGTCCGGTGTTGGCTCTCATCCCCTAATACCTATCCTTGCCCGTGCTAGGCTATGAATATCTCCTTAAAAGGGTTCACAAGGTCAAATCCTTCTAACGCTGGGTTGGCAGTGGAACAGCAAGTCAGCTCGATGTCGGCTTTCATTTCCTATATTTGTGAAAATACTTCAGGGTGGATGAGTTTCCAGCTATATATGTCTCGACCAGTGCTTCTGCATGTCGGCTTCCACTTAATGTTAAATCTTATTTTTTAAAATTTCCAATTTAAGTGTCATCGAAACAGTAACCAGGCTCTCCACGAATAGTATCGAGGTCGGAATGGGGAGCTCGACCACCGACACATACCTTTGGTCATCTACCAGCTGTACCTAAATATGTCTTCATTCGATATGGTGCCATGCCTGGTTGTACCACGGAGAGCGCCTTAAACAGAAAGTTCGGGAATACCAGAACTACCATTTTGCAGAAAAGTAGGACGTTAAACTCCATTCATTTCATTTACAATCCCTTTAACACCATTATTCAAGCAGTTCGCAGCAGACTTCACTTTTGTGATGCCTAATTTTGTATTGTAGATTGGCCTGATATAGGTTATACCTTTGTTATGGAGAAGGTGGAAATGTTTATGAAGCCCGAGGGTGGGATATTATTGCGGTTCATACCTACAATTATAATTATAATGGGTTAGGTAAGTACTGATGCAGTGTGCAATGAGGAA